TACCGACGACGCCAGCGCTACCTTTCGCGATCAGACGATATTCGGAAGGCAAGAACAACGCAACTTTGGGCTCGGTAAGCGCTGGAGCAGCAGTCCAAAAAGGAACAAAACTAAATTTAAACTAATTCACTTGATTAAGGCCTGCACACCAGTAATATTATAATCGTTCGAGTGTGGTTCTTTACATGTGATTGAAATCGTGTGTTTCGCATAGTTTTTTTTGCTTGCTTGCGTGTGCGTGTGTGTGTTTTAAGAACTTTCTGTGTGTACTCGCACATGTGCATGAAGCATATATATAAGGAGGTCTCGTCGTCAGAAATAGGGGAGCATAACAATGCTGTCAATAAGTGCGAGTGAAAGGGCTCTCGCTGTAAGTGTGAGTGAAACGACAATGGAGTGTGCGCTCAACCTGCCGCGTCGACAAGCAAATTTAAGGAAATAAGACAAGGACCGCTGCCGACGAGGAGACATCCTTATAGTTGCTTCATGCACATGTGCTCGCAGAAGCCGACTCGCAGCCGCAAGCTCCTCTGCCATGTGTTTTTGTTTCGAATTAATTATGAAAATCCAATACATTTCGGCAGAGTAAGGGCAGTGCAGTTAGGTTCAAGGTCACCATTGAAGCGGTTTTATGTTTTATTTTTGTCTGGAAAAGGTCCGAAAAAGTGTTATTTCTTTCAACATAAATTAAGCTGGAGTATAACCGTGCGCTTGCTCAGCCTTAAACTCGTTTAGAGGCCTGCTCAAATTTCTTTGGTTTCAGCTTTTTCTTTGGTACACATATTTTTTCAATGGCAATGGCCACAACATCGAATTTCATCTATAAAATGCCTGTGCAAATTGTTTACTCAGTGTGTTCTCCTATGGCAACAAATTCATTCGTTCCGTGAACTTAGAAACGGTTGCACATATCAGCGCAAAAAGCTTAAAATCTCTAGCCTCTAGATCAAGGTAAAGTGTGAAATTCGTGTGGGGGAAATAACCAGTGAGAATTGGAGCCAGCTGTGTTGGTGTGCACCATCGTGGGCTATTCTATTAGTATTATTTGTTGTGTGAAATATCAAAAAAGAACATGGGTTTTCTTTTGTTTATAGATTCTTTATCGTTTTTGTTTTATTTTGCAACATACGATAGAATTTCATTGAGTCAAGTCTGTGTATTTATATGGGCGCAATCAGTAGTTAGTTCGTTTCTTTAAAATATACAAAAAATATATATTGTATTTGTATGTATCAGCTTCGAGAACAAAGTTGATGCTTACCAAGTTCTAGCCGTTTGCGCCATATGTTGCCAGAGATCCTTAAAGGTAAGGATGCAATCTGCAGCAACGAATTGTGTCTTTCAATATCTGTGTAAATTCATTTAAGTTCAAAGACTTCAAAGACAAAAACGCATTCTTACCCAGGGATCAGCTTTGTTTGTTATATTTCCAGTAGATGAATGGAAGGTAGAGCAGCCAAAGTTATCTTCCAGTATCTGTGAACATATTTACTTTTAGTGAGATTATGGAACTTGTTAAATGCAATTTAAAACTTACCTAGGGATCCATGGGGTGGCTGGATATTGAAAGTATGTACATTTATCTGTGCATGTGTGTGTGTGTGTGTGTGTGTATCAACAGCTGCAAAAATATATATCAATTTAGCAACGAAATGTATGAGCAAATAGGCAAATATTTGTGCACTTACCTATCAGGTTTTTCCTTGTATTTTGTGCTGTGTTTTGATTCGGCATTCTAGGAACTGCAAATGTACAAACATAAATGAAATGTGTACACATTTGCATCGCAATTGTAGAACTCACCTAATAAACCAGCAAAATCCAGCTAGCAATAATGGCCACACCCCCAACTGAGCCAGTGACCATCACACGGCGCTCATTGGTCAGGGCACGACTGTACAGCGAACCGCAAAATAGCAATGATCCGGACATTAGCAGAGTGATTGTCATTACGGGATACGTGGTCATCGGAATCAGCGTCAAGGCACACGAATTGACAAAGTGCGCCTGTATGGCCCATTCCGCATACCTTCTGGCCGACTTCTGCGCCACGATTGTTAGACGATTCAGCCGATGTTTGCAGACCCCCAGCATAATCAAGGTCGAGGCAATTGACAGTCCAGCCAGGGAGAACATTTTGAACGGCGAGCGGAGCTGTTGCTCGAATGTGCTGCCCATCAACGCGGTGGCCACCGGCTCCACCATTTCCTGCGGCACAATAATCTGCTTAGAGCGTAGCCCAATCTTGAGTAGAACCAGTGCTCCGGTGTACCTGAGGGCTCGGCTTATCGGGTTGTCAATGAAAACATTATCGAACAAATTTCCTGATGCCATTTTGCTAGCTTTTTTTGTTCGTTTAAATTTGTAACTTATTTTTTTGCTTCACTTTTTGCACAACGAAATATTTTTTGTTTTTTCCAAAATAATTTAATGTTCTCTGTTTGGTTGAACTGCTGATACTGTTGATTTTGTGCTCTGATTTGGGGAACAAACAAATTTTGGATACTGCAGGTCTACTTGGGTTTCAAAAAATGTTTCTCGAATGAATTTTCGTAGATTTTGCAGGCAACTAGGATCTATTTTTGCGGCTTTCTAGCGTTTCTAGAGTGTTCTGTTGTCAATAATAATCATTTTTACGTCAGCTGCCATAGGTGGGGTCTGTGTCTTATCACTGGGCTGACCTTTTCAACCCAAAGCCAAAGCCAAAGCCAAAGCCGGAGACGATAAGCGATAAGCTCAAAGCTAATACCAGCCACGGTACGTGGGGGGTCCCAAAAAAATTAAACACACACCCAAGACACACTTATTAAGGGGCGTGTGGCGAACCCACAAATATGGTTAAAAATAATCTAATCGTTGCCATGGCTGCATCGATCTGTCGATCAGCGCCTTATCGCTAGAACTTTTCCTTTGCTACTTTGAACCCACTGAACCCATTTTTGCAACATAAATATTTGTGTGCTGTTTGCTGCTGGATCGTTGTCGTCGCGGGCATCTCCTTGCACTGAACGTCAGAGCTTTATCGTTCGTTGCACCGAACGCATCGCCTTTGCTGCACTGGTCAATTGATTGAATTGCATTTTTGTTGTTGCTTTTTACTATGAAGAAAATGGAGGATCAGAAACTGCTGCAGGCCACGCTGGAGGATAGCGACCCGGAGCTGGCGTGTCTCATCAAGAAGGAGAAGGAGCGCCAGCGTGAGGGACTCGAGATGATTGCCAGCGAGAACTTCACCTCGGTGGCCGTGCTGGAGAGTCTTGGCTCCTGCCTCACCAACAAGTACTCCGAGGGATATCCCGGCAAGCGGTAAGCCATGTTTGAGCCTGAGCATGTCCTTTAGCCTGACTAATCCTTGAAATCCTTTGGCACAGCTACTATGGCGGCAACGAGTTCATTGACCACATCGAATTGCTGGCCCAGCGGCGCGGCCTCGAGCTGTTCAACCTCACCGAGGATCGCTGGGGCGTCAATGTTCAACCGTATTCGGGCTCGCCGGCCAACATGGCCGCCTATGTGGGCGTTTGTCGGCCGCACGATCGCATCATGGGACTGGATCTGCCCGATGGCGGGCATTTGACGCACGGCTTCTTCACGGCCAACAAACGCATCTCGGCCACGTCGATCTTCTTCGAGAGCATGCCGTACAAGGTGAACCCCGAGACGGGCATCATCGACTATGACAAGCTGGCCGAGGCGGCCAAGACCTTCAGGCCGCAGATCATCATTGCCGGCATCTCGTGCTACTCCCGCCTGCTCGACTATGCGCGCTTCCGTCAGATCTGCGACGATGTGGGCGCCTACCTGATGGCCGACATGGCCCACGTTGCCGGCCTGGTGGCCGCCGGGCACATTGCCTCGCCCTTCGACTATGCCGACATTGTGACCACAACCACGCACAAGACCCTGCGCGGTCCACGCGCCGGCGTCATCTTCTTCCGCAAGGGTGTGCGCTGCATCAGGCCCAACGGGGACAAGGTGCTGTACGATCTGGAGGATCGCATCAATCAGGCCGTCTTCCCATCGCTGCAGGGCGGACCACACAACAATGCCATCGCCGGCATTGCCACCGCCTTCAAGCAGGCCAAGTCTGTGGAGTTCAAGAACTACCAGGCCCAGGTCATGAAGAACGCCAAGGTGCTGTGCGCGAGCCTCATTGCCAAGGGCTATCAGGTGGCCACCGGCGGCACTGATGTCCATCTCGTGCTGGTCGATGTCCGCGGCGCGGGCCTCACCGGTGCCAAGGCGGAGCTAATCCTCGAAGAGGTGGGCATTGCCTGCAACAAGAACACCGTGCCCGGGGACAAGTCTGCCCTGAATCCGTCCGGCATTCGCTTGGGCACACCGGCACTGACCACGCGCGGCCTGGTCGACAAGGACATCGAGCAGGTGGTCGCCTTCATTGATGCGGCACTCAAGCTGGGCGCCGAGGCCGTCCAGGCTGCAGGCAGCCCCAAGCTGGCCGACTACAACAAGGTCATCGCTGAGGATGCAACCATCAGGGCCAAGATCGACGAAATTCACAAGTGTGTGATCGCCTTCAGCAAGCGGTTCCCTCTGCCCGGCTTCAAGACTTTGTAACGCACTTTCCTCTCTTTCTTTTCACTCCTTTTTTTTCCGTTTATCAAAATTGAAACAATAATTAAATTGGCTTTAATGATTCCGCAAAGCCCAGTTGTAAATGGAATTAGTAGCTAAGATATTAAACACAATGAAACACCAAAAAGATTTCTAGTGCGTGAATGGAGCGGGGGGGGGCAGCGATGGCTGTGCCAGCTGCATGAAAGCCCAACTTATCACCTCGCTAAACATGGAACAGGAACGAACACTGAAAAGCATCAGAGAAGCGTCACTGCAGATGTCTCCACACTGCAAATGAAATCTTTGCTTGTGCAGAGATCGTGCTGCAAATGAATATGTTTTGATCTACATTTCTAATTGTCCTAATTGAAGCTCCTCCCAAGCTCCTCTCCAATGATTAGCGTACACAGAACTCGTGTGAGTTTGCTTCAATTTCGTCTAAATTGGTCGATAATGCGTTATTATTGGAAGAAAACACAAGCAAAAATATACATGCAAAACTGCGTACATCAAATCTATAGCACATCCTTGGCCAGGAGCCTTACAATAAGATCGATATAGTCTCGTTTCAGCCGACTATCCGCTGCTCGCGCTGACTTTGAGAGTGCAGCAAAAGTGGATGGCACACAGAAAGTAGCATCTCCGAGTGCCCCACAAAAGACTTAGGCTAAGGGGGAAAATCTTTTGGTTAATCGCTTTCTTTCGGCCAGCAGCTACGACAGTCCATCGAGCGTCATTGAACCATTCGTAGCCCCTTCTTTAAGGCAGTTCAACAGGAACAAAGGCTTGAACCTCTGGCTCTCCTAGCAACTTCCTGAACAAAGGAGAACTCCTGCCACATGGCGGATATGAAAATACTTTTTTTGTGTGTCTCGTGTCTCGTGTCTCTGCTGTAATTAGTTTCAGTGATCTGTCGATTCGATTTTGATAAACTCCTTGCTCTGGCGCAAATCGCGATGGAAGCGAGAGTTGTGCGTGGACAGGGACCACTTGGTCTTGAAGCTCTTGATGCAGATGTAACACTCGTGCTGCTTGTCCTGTATCTCCGAGTGCCTGGAGGCGATGTGTCGCCGCAGCGCATTCGTTGACTTGAGTCGTCGCTTGCAGAAGTGACAAATGAGCGGCATTAATAATGCCTCTGGCACTGTCTCATCCTCGCCAAGTGGATCGGTAGTATCCGTATCAGCACGTAATCTCGTGCCAGTTTCACTCGGGGCTGTAATACAGGAAAAGTAAGAAATGCTTTTTAATATTATTTTACTCGCTGCCAAATCCCACACCCAATTTGAATTGATTTTCTTGCATTTAAATGGTTTACACATGTATTTTTTTGTTGCTCTTTCTCGCTCTCTCTCTCTTGGACTTTCTCTCTCTGTGATAGCTCCTTCTCTGTCTGTCTCGGTTTAGCAAAAACACGATTTAAATTGAATAATCTAGTCGTAGTTGTTTCATCTATTAATACATATTATATACATATAGATTTATGTACTTAGGCTTATTGTGTGGGTCTCTCGGACTATGGGGACTATGGCCCTGCATGGGGATTATCTCAGCGAATAAAGTATAAAGAACTGCATTTAATTATTCTAGCTTTTGTTATTCAATTGTGTCAAAAGATATATTTGAACAGAAATATTCCAAGTTAATGTGACAAAACGTTGAAAATAAAATGTAACTATTTTTGATTTGGAACTGGGACTGAGATTGAGATCTGTTTTTCATCCATACAGGGGCCATACATTCAATTATATTATCGTATAACTCTAGCTATAGATCTCTACATATAGTTATGTGTGTGGATCGTAAATATTTAATACGTATGAGTTGTTGGTTTCATTTAACTAGATAATCTTTAGTATGCATCTCTGTGTTAGTGTTTGATTTTTGTGTGTGAGGAAAATACTTTCAAGCTTAACTTAGAGCACAGATTATCATCAGTCTGGAACTGGAACTGGGACTGGGGTACTGGGCTCTAAAAACCTACAACTAATTTAGCTACTTTACAACGATTGCAATTTACTTCTACTCCTCCTAAATCTCTCTCTCCTGCTTGAACACAGAATGGCCAAATATGAAGATTGCTTTTTGTACACAATTGGCTTGAGCAGAGTACGCATAAATCGAGTTTTGTTTTAGCTTAGAGCAAGAGATGATGCTTGACCACAGCAGGGTAAATCTATAAGTGTTTGTTTATATATACATAATGGTCGGTATTTGTACTCTGCTATCTAATAAAAACAACAACAACAACAAAAAAAAAAAAAACCAGGTTGATTTTGCTGCTGCTACAAAATACATTTTACATACGAAATGGCTTGGTCAAGGATGGGGGATTACCAGCTCTCCACTGACTCTTGACTGACTCTGACTCGGGCCCTAGCTTAATGCACTATTTATCGCTTATCTTATAACTATAATGGATGTGTGTGTGTGTGTGTATAAACTAATACTATTTTAGACACATATTGCTAGTCATTTGTTAGACGAAATGCTCCTCCACTCTCCACACTTTTGCTTTGCATTTTGGAGTTGTTTCTTGACAAATTTTGGCTAATTTTTGTATGGGTTGAATGATGGATCGATGGATTGGTGGATTGCTGGTTGATTGGTGGACTTTTTGTTGGTTTTGTGTGTGGACTGGAAAGAGCAATCTTTCGAGTTGTTACTGCTACTTGGACGTTATGCTCTATATATTTATATATATATATATCTTGGAATCTCTCTCTTTCGCTCGCTCTCTCTCTTTTGGGTTCCTTATTCAATTTCGAATGCTGCCCATATTCATCATATTGAGGCTGATATATGTCTCGGCAGTCGTGTAGATTGCCGTCCATCAGTTCTCCGTTTTAATGGTAACCTTCTGCTCGTGCGAGATGCGTATGTGCTCACGTAGGCTGTATTTGTTTTTGAAATTCTTATTGCAGAGATCACATTTGCGCGGCGGCTGTGGTGTGTGTTGGGTGCGAATATGTCTCCAAAGATTAACCGTGGTAATAACCATTTTGCAAAACTGACACTCTGTCCACTTATTATTGGGCGAATCTAAAAATATATAGAAAATACGTACACGATCAATACAAAGACAGTTTGTTGGACCTAAACTATATATCTATGCACCCTCAACTACTCGCTTTTTCTTTGAAGACATATTCGACAGCCACAACAACAACAACAACAACAACGACTCTTACGACATATATAAATGGGGGTTACATGTAATGCAAATCTACAGAGCATGGGCTGCAGCTAGAGCTGGACACCATCCATTTACACCACACACAACTTAATATAACTTAACTTAAAAGTCAAATAAAATAATGCTAAAGCATAAGGAAACAAACGATGACGATCCTTCGAGCATTTAATGCTTCGTAAATTATTATTATCTGAAGTTGCGTCCCATCCCACAGTACAGTCGCTGCCATCCAACATTCATCAAGCATTAAACACACATTTGGAAATGTTTCAAACAATCAACAAACACTAAAACGAATGCAAAAAGTAATAATAAAAATATACAAAATGATCAAATGATTTTTTGCCTGTGTGTTTTTGCTACTTTGAAGGTCGATAGAGAGAGAGAGAGAGAGAGATTACTTAAAACTCTTCTTGCAGTCAAATTCCTAATACAAAATCCCTGCCCAGTCGTTTGTCGCTCACTCACCATTTGGCGGCGCATTGTTGCCCTTGCTGTCCGCCTTGACCGGCGTCAGGGACACCGTAGTCGCGGCAACTGCCGACGGGCTGCCATCCTCCAGCACAGCATGGGGCGTAGATGTTGCACCCGTCCCACTGCCCAAGAGGCGGGCTTAACATAAGGAAAGAAAGCGTTAGATTTGGCGTTAAATTCAATGAACTGCTGCTGCCATTGCTGCCAATGAGTTTACTCACTCATTTCGATGGCTATTTCGGCGTTTTCCGCATCCGCTTGATATTTCTCCTCGATCTCGGACTCGGTTAGTATCTCGTATTCGGATGAGTATTGGGCCACCGTCTGCGCTGCACCGGTGGTGGCATCCTGCGACGTCTGCGGCGTGGCACCATCCGACAGTCGATCATCCACCTCGCTCACAATATAATCGGGTATATCCATTTTGACGGCACCACGCAGAAAGGTCATATCCGAGGCTACAAGAACGATTCAACGATTACATTTTGGACACGAATTTGTTGTGGAATATCGTTTGATTTACTTTTAACAATTGTCTGGTCGTCCTTGCTGGCATAGGCGACCGTTTCGGTGGTGTAGATGTTGTCATCGTCATCGGAGAACGTCAGTTTACGCTTCTTTGCCGCTGACAGTGCCACAGCATTCGTGATGGTCAAATGCTGTGGCGTTGTCGGCAGTGGGTGTGATTGTTGTTGTTGCTGTTGCTGCTGCGATTGTTGCTGTTGCTGCTGTTGCTGTTGTGGTGGTGGCGCCGATTGCACCTGGATGTGTTGTATTTGAGTGGTTTGTACATGATGATGCTGCTGCTGCTGCTGTTGCTGCTGCTGTGACTGAGACTGCGTCTGCTGCTGCTGCTGCTGTTGGACCTGAAGCTGAGCGGCAGCGGCAGCAGCCACTTGCGTCTGAACCTGACTGACAGCCGTTGCCTGCAACAGTGTGGCCGTGGGTATTTCGATGGTTTGCGTTGCTGTCTGTGCCTGTGCCACACTGGGCACCTGCTGCTGCTGCTGTTGTTGCTGTTGCTGCTGCTGCTGATCGTTCACCGCTCTTATGGTGCTGGGTATGGTCTTGATGAGCTTATGATCGCTGAGCGGCAACGTTGGCAGCTGCGGCTTCTCCTTCTCCTCGGCGGTAAGGCCCTGGACGGCAAGCAGCTCGGCTGTTTGCAGGAACGATTGCAGTGCCTCCTGCTGTACATTCACCTCGCCCTACAAAAAAGACACAGTGTGAATGAGTGTGTGTGCGTGTGCGTGTGTGGGTGGTACCTACCTGGTACATAAACTCGATTATCGAGTTGAGATCTTCGAATTTGATAAACTTAAATATAATGACTGGATGCGGATGGGGATTCTCCTTGAAGATCTCCTTGAAGTATGACGAGCACGAGGACAGCACCACCTTGTGCGCCTTAATCTTTCTGCCATCCACGCACAGGGTGACATCGACGAAGTCATCGTTCAGCCGGTGGTTGTCCAGGGAGTAGGTCAGGTGGCGCAGATAGTTGTTCCACCTCAGCGAATATTGCTGTGTCGTGGCCATCTCCGCTACTGACTAATCCAATTAACCGCCAATGCAAATGCAAATGCAAAAACACCTTGCAGGTTGTTGTTCTTTTTTTCTTGTTGTTTTGTTTTGTTTTGGTGTCGCCGCTTCCAGCTGGTGCGTACTGCCAGCAGCCTAGAACCTCGTCGTGGCCCAACCACCACCGGGGTGGCTTGGGGCACCTTTTTGGAGCAGCACAATCGACCCACCAGTACGGTACCTCCAAACACAATACCCACGGGCACTGGCACGGGCACGGGCACGGGCACGGGCAGGCAGGCCGCTACCCTTTGCCACACACAACTGTTCGATGATCAAACTTCGTGTTAATTGCTGAACGATATCGTGTAATTATATTTCTGCTCGCTTTACCGCTATCTCTCGCTCGCACGTTTTTGATTATTTTCTCACTTTCGTTGCTGTTTGCGGCTAAATTATACACGAATTTTTTTTATGTACGCTGCGGCCAAACAAAATGCCACCATTTTGTTTTTTTTTATAATCAAAAAGTTATTATCGATAAAATATACCGAAAAAAACCTCAAAAATATACCTTCTTGTTTAAAAAATATACCGAAATATTAAATCATATTCCCTGAAATTGATGTTCTATTTGATATTACTAGCTTGCAAAGGCTTTCGTCACTGAAAAAATATTTTAATCCCATTGGAAAATCAATTTTGCTTATTATAAATATTCATTTTTATTGGATTGTATACACCTTATGACCTTATATTTTGCCAATTTGTATTTGAATTTTTGTATTTAAATCACCTCTTCTGGAACCTTTTTTTTTCAGTATGTAAATGTATTATTATTATTAAATATATAATCTGCAAAATTTTTTTGATACGGTTTACCAACACAGATTGATTTGTTTTTGCTTTGATTGGTGCCAAAGATATCCAAAATTTCCTCAATTCGAGGATATTCATCCCTCCAAGCGTACTAAATGTTGCCTTATTCCGTGCCCATGTTGAGGAACATTTATGTTACTATCGTGGTATGCACAAAATGCACTAGATGGCGCCAGCACGCTATAATTGCCAGATAGTTGCAATAAGACGGTTTAAATTTGAAAAATGCCATTTACCAGTACTGTATTTAAATATTTTCTGTAAAATTGACTCCTACTACGGAGGAGGGAGGTGCTAAGCGGAGAAAGAAAGTAAAAAAAAAAAAAAAAAACAGCTGGTAGTGTGTGTGGCAGAGCCTACCAAAGGCTCACAACAAATCGGTAGATGAGGCGGAGCAAGAAGCTATAGACAATGGCCCGGCAGAGATAGTCCAGCACATAGAAGATCTTCATGCGAAAACGGGCACTCTTGCTGCTTATGGGGCTTTCGTGCAGCAGAAACTCCTTGGCGCCACGAATGGCGTGCTGAAAGAACTCCACATAATCGATATTTGCATGTTGCATAAATCCAAAACAATCCCTGCAAAGAGGGGAAAAGATGAACAGGATGACCACAGACTCGACTTGAAAGCTAACTTACATTTCCTTCTCAGGCACCAGATTGTGCAGGGCACGAAAATTCTGATTCTGAAAGTGCCACTCGGTGGCGGCAAACACCTGCAGCGCACTGAAGGCAGCAAAAATGCGTCGCTGCAGCTTCATGAGGCTGCAAATGGATTGGACATGAGAATCCTGGGTCTCTGGTGGGTGGCATTTAACTTACAAAGGCTTCTCGTTGTACAGCCGCAGCAGAGTGTCCACCACAACAGCCATCAGCAGGTGCATGGTGCAGAACTATAATCCATAAACGGAAGAGTAATCCAAATCATTATGAATGCTCCGCGCTGCAGCACTTACCCGTATGAAATGTAGAACCGGACACAAGGTCATGCTGCCGCCGGGCAGCCAGAGCGTCTTCTCAAAGGGATTCTCACGGATGTAGGTCTTGCCAATCTCGATGACCTCGCCCATGGTGATGGTCGAGATATTGGCCGTGGCGCAGTTGACCACATAGAGCGGCTTGTCCTTGGCCCTTGCCTCTGGCTCGACCAGGAACTTGTACGCGGCCAGGATCAGGCCGCGTGCCACCACATCGGCGGGCACGAAGTCGGAAACGATGTTGGGATCGCAGTTCTGGGAGCGCAAGATGCCCACGCCGCAGGCAACCAGCAGGCCGGTGGGACCGTTAAAGTTATCCGCCCAACCAGGCACAGGCTCCTCAATGGTGGACACCACTGTGGGGGGAATACAGAGGGAATAAAGTACAGAGCGAGACCCATGGGCGGGATGAGTGATTACCGATAGATGGCCTGAATATGAAGATGGGCAGCTGATCCTTGTACTCGTTCACCACGTGCTCGGCCAGACTCTTTGTGAAGGTGTACGAATTGGGCTGAAAGTTGCCATATCTGCCAATGGATACACCACCAATTATACGAATTAAAGATATATAGATGGATCCTGCTGCTTGGCCACTCACTTGAGGTTGAATATGTTGAGGGTCTCCTCGTCGTAGGTCTCCGCCAGCTTGATAGTGGTACGCCAATCGGCGAGCGGTGGATAGATGCGCTCCTCCACCTCCAGCACACTCGGATTCGAGTACGTGGTGGACACGTGGACAAAGGCACGCAACTTCTTCCAGGCCAGGGCCAGTTTGACCAGCTCATGGGTGCCCCGGGTGTTCATTAGGATGGCAGATCGCAGCGGATCATCGAAGCTAGCAAGAAGCAAACGAGACAATGATTGGCAGCAGCAGCAGATGACATCCCGTCTTACCGTACACTGGCCGCCGAGTGATAGACAATGGTCACATTGCGCAGCCGTTCCAGATCCGCCGCACAAATGCCCAGGCCCAGCTGCTCCACGTCCCCGGCAATGGGCACAAGCTTGGACCACGCATCCGGCTGCTCCCTGCGCAGGCGGTCATACAACTTTGTCTCCCCCTGCAGCTGCAGGCGCTCCTCGATGCTGTGCCCCTTCTTGGGACGCATCAGAACGTAGATTCTCTTCAGGCTGGGGCATGATCGCAACAGCTTCTCGATGAGAGCCTTTCCAACGAAACCTGCGGGTGTCCGTGTCCATCGTTTTTTGAGTGTTTCAATATCAAATGGCAAATCAATACCCACCCGAGGCGCCGGTTACGAAGATTTCGTGATCCTTGAAGGCCGCTGCAATAGACATCGTATGGCACCGCGCGGATCGCTGTCCCAAATCGTTCTGGATCGAGGCCGTGCCAGAAGTACGGCCCTGCCCGGCCGGCCCGTTCCCGATCCCAGTTCCGGGCATATTTAAATCGGGAACCGCACAGTGCCGACCCCCGTCGTCCCGAGGTCGCATGAATATTCAGGGCCTAGCCAAGCGTATTTACATTGTTGTCGCTGAGACAGTGGATACATTATAAAAGGGACCAGGATCGTGGCTTAACATTTGTAACTGATCCTAGGTATCTTTTGGACACACTCACACTTTCGTATCTACAGGTGTCGGGCGCCTGAAGCCTCTATTCTTGGCGGACATCTCTGTAAATCGATTGAATATTTCACTGTAGCTCTTATTTCAGTGATTTTCGTGCTTTTCTCACCGCAGAACGCATTCTAGAACAAATTTCCGGCAACTGTTCGAGAACCAATAACAAAATGGAAACGTTGAACCGCAAAAACCGAAAAAACAAATAAAATTAGAATCAAAAGAAGAAAGCGCCGCAAGAGAATTTTTACCGTTTCACGCGCTCTTTTCAAAAGCAGGCAGTGTGCCCAAGTCCTAACTGTGTGCGTTTTATTTGTGTGCGTGTTTGGGTGCTCCTTGTCGTTTCTCTCTGCATGCACTCCGCCTGCACGTGTTTCAATCTTAATCAATTTCGATCCAAAACTATACAAACAGCTGCTAAGCTGCTCTTTGTATAGTTTCTAACATTTAAAACGGCACTTTAATCGCAGCGACATCGATGAGGGGTCCACTCTCTTGTAAGTCATTAACATCGTGTGTGAGTGTTTTTTTGTTTAAATACGCGATACGGCCGGCAACAGGCGTCTGTTAAAGTGTTCTAACAGCTGTTAAGCTGGTTTTAATACAATCCACAGCATCAGTTTTGAACCTAAGGTCACTGAACCCCTATTATAACCACCCTTCGATCATTTCCAACGGCATTCCCCAACCATGAATATGGTTGTTAATATTTCAAGAGTTCGTGATAGTTTTGGTTGTGTGTTTTTAGTTGCATTTTCACAATTTAATTAACATTTTCAGGCGTAAACTTATCATTCGATACGCATGCAATTAGAAAAGTATACAAATAAAAAAAATACACATGTATTTCATGTCGTATGTATGTATGTATGGGGTATGCGAAAAAAAACTCTTTTGCAGTCGACGCCAAACCAGCAACTACTGATTGCATCCACATTCATGTGTATGCATATAAGACGTACATACATATGTGTGCACGTACGAGTATGGGGGTATGAGTTTTGGAGCGAGCGGCTTGCCGGCCGGCGAAAGACAGCCAGTACGAGAGCGGGTGGACAAGCAGAGAGCGCAAGCATAGCAGGAACAGGAGCAGAGAAGAGTGCGAGAGCAGGTATTGAAGACGGGGAGAGGCAGAAGAGAAGACGAGCTTGATTTTCTTTCGTTTTCATATTTTTGTTTCACTTGTTTTTATAATTACATCATAATTAAAAAATAATACATAAGGTTGCTTTTTAATTTTACAAAACGCTAGTGTGTTGTTTGTGTTTTGCTTTCATTTTTGTTTTTGAGTTGTTTTTTTGCTTTGGGGAAATAGAATGGTTTTTCTGGATGATGTTGAATGTTCTTATGGTTCCACGCACTCTTGTGTGTGGTGTGTGTGAGTGCAAGGGAAGTGCGAGTGAGTATGGTGTGTCGGTATTCGAGTGTGGGTGCATTTGTGTGAGTGTGTGTGCGTGCTCTGTCCGTGGAATGGCAGATAATGATGTTCTAGTTGTCATCTCAGTTGTTTTTGTTATATTAGGGATATTAAAAAAAAAAAACAAAAATACATATTATATCATATCTCATGTGGAATAAATTAATTAATGCTAGAACACAACACGGAGCCGTCTCCCCCCACCCACACACAAGGGATGAGCATTCTCTCCGCAAGTGTGTGGGCGTTGGAGCCGGCTTGAATGATGGTCTTGTCTTCTTGTTGTGCTGAACTCCTTCGACACGTCAATTAAACTGCCGACACTACTCGCACTCTTCTCTGCTTCCTCCTGCGTCGCCGTCATCCTCTTCCTCTCTTACGCCCAAATTCGAGTCGTCCACCGACAGACTTAGAAGCACTTGCGGTGCACAATGGATGGGCCGGACTCGTCGTATTCCTGCTTGGAGATCCACATCTGCTGGAAGGTCGACAGCGAGGCCAGAATGGAGCCACCGATCCAGACGGAGTACTTGCGCTCTGGGGGAGCAATGATCTTGATCTTCATGGTGGATGGGGCCAGGGCAGTGATCTCCTTCTGCATGCGATCGGCGATGCCAGGGTACATGGTGGTGCCACCGGACAGGACGGTGTTGGCGTACAGGTCCTTACGGATATCGACGTCGCACTTCATGATCGAGTTGTAGGTGGTCTCATGGATGCCGCACGCCTCCATTCCCAAGAATGAGGGCTGGAACAGGGCCTCGGGGCAACGGAAACGCTCATTGCCAATAGTGATGACCTGTCCGTCGGGAAGCTCGTAAGACTTCTCCAATGAAGAGCTGGAGGCAGCGGTGGCCATCTCCTGCTCGAAGTCCAAAGCGACGTAGCACAGCTTCTCCTTGATGTCGCGAACGATCTCACGCTCGGCTGTGGTGGTGAATGAGTAGCCACGCTCAGTGAGAATCTTCATCAGGTAGTCAGTCAGATCGCGACCGGCCAAATCCAGACGCAGAATGGCGTGAGGCAGAGCATAGCCCTCATAAATGGGGACGGTGTGAGAGACACCATCACCAGAATCCAAGACGATACCGGTGGTACGGCCGGAGGCGTACAGGGACAGAACAGCCTGGATGGCCACATACATGGCGGGTGTGTTGAATGTCTCGAACATGATCTGAGTCATCTTCTCACGGTTAGCCTTGGGGTTAAGAGGGGCCTCGGTCAGCAGAACGGGGTGCTCCTCGGGGGCAACGCGCAGCTCGTTGTAGAAGGTGTGATGCCAGATCTTCTCCATATCATCCCAGTTTGTCACGATTCCATGCTCGATGGGGTACTTCAGAGTGAGGATACCACGCTTGCTCTGGGCCTCATCACCCACATATGAGTCCTTCTGTCCCATGCCAACCATGACACCCTGGTGACGTGGGCGGCCGACGATCGATGGGAACACGGCGCGGGGTGCATCATCTCCAGCGAAACCGGCCTTGCACATGCCGGAGCCATTGTCGACAACGAGAGCAGCAACTTCTTCGTCACACATATTGTAAGCTGCAAGGATATACAAAAGGGAAAAAATTAGTTCCGGTTAAACAGTCGCGAGAGAGGAATGGGGAACAGGGTGAATTGCGAACAAGAGGCTCAGGGCCCCACCCCGAAAGAAAGAACAGCCAAGACACAAGGCACTTGAATGCCGGTGCGAAGGAGCGTGTTTCTCTGCCTGTGTGTGTGTGTGTGTTTGTATGCGGCAAAGGCGCTGTAAAATGGCGGCCGCAAAAGAAGAACACAGAAAGAGAGCAAGAAGAATTTTCTATGAAAACCGGCAGAGCACAATTGAGGTATCACGAGAATATTCTTTTTATTGCAAACCCAAAAGTAACTGGTAAACTTCACAGAAAAAACAAAAAAATTAAGAAACTGATGTGCTTGTGTTGTGCCAAAGCTTTTGACCACCACATTCGCGTACAACTTTCAGTGCAGTACAATTTTCATTCAAAATGAGTTTGAATTTTTAAGCCACTTGATTTACCTTTTTGTTTCTAAAACGATTTTAAAGGGAAAAACTAATGCTTCGAACCACTCGACTGATTTCGAAAATTTGCTACCGCACCGTTAGACCGTCGAAAGAGGAATGAACAGACCGAGCTGCTGCAGCGGCAATTCGGTGCCTGGCTGGCAGAGTCGGCTTGCGAGATATCTGTCTCGCGGGTGTGTGTGTGTGTGTTCCGATTCGCTCTCGCCTGCACATTTCGAGCGGCTGCAAGCGCACGCGTGCAACAGAGAGCGAACGAGTCGAGTCTTCGAAGCCAACTTTTGTGACCATATATGGTCATGTTTCAAGTCGTTGTTCGCTCGGCGGCTCGCTTTCGCTCTCACACACACTCGCATGCTCTCGAGACTGACGCCGAAGGTTTTCACCATTTTTGCACAGCAACGGCGACAGCGACGTAGACTTATGGTGTGTGTGTATGTATGTATTTATTGAAGCCGGCATTTTAGAGCCCAGCCGATCAAGTCTTTCCAAATAACATTAATGACGCGATTCTGTTACTATTTCTGGCCGCCTACAAACGCTACAAACATTTATGGATTACGATCTGCCTACGTCACAGGCTCAACAAGGCAGTTCTATAGCATGGAGGCTCAAACAAGTGTGATCTGCTACAGATCTTTATTGAGGTGTCTGCGTGGGCTACAATGAACGACGTCTAGCAATTATTTTGCGAATCTTGCTTTCAGGGAAAGTTAATTTTGGGCGTGGGAAAAAGAAAGCGGTGTGCGAATTGAATTTCAAATGTCAAAAAACGAAACTGTCACCAAAGCTTTTGGTCTACTTCTTTTGCCCATTTGGGTGAAATCGTTAAATGGAGCGTGACACGCCCAGTCGTCTATAGATAAATTTCACATCTATCTACATATGTATCTATGTATGTTGCATTAGAATTGCGAATACTGTAGTAGTTTGTAGAGGGATATTCTCAGCTAAGACGTTGGCCATTCAAATTTGAATGACTGTTGAAATGACATCTGTCATTAAGGGTTTTTTCTAGAAAACTCATATTCTGGAATGACATTCTCAGTGTCGACCTTCCGCCAAACTTTTGGGAAAGACATTTTCAGTTGCGAATTTCTCGACCAACCTTTTGCATCACTTTTCACACTTATCACACAAAAAAATTTAGTTATCAAACAAAAAACATGTGCACTGTTTTTTTATTTTTAGTTTTTGTCACACGGTTTGGAAGGCGTTTCGTTTCTTTGCGCTGGTAGCTCTTCAAAGGGGGTGGGGGACGGATTCTCGGACTTTTTCGTATACTTACATTTGGTCTGTTTTGTTTAAAATTAATTAAATTAATATAAATTAAGTCTTTCGGTTGAGTGTCTTTTGCGTAGACGACTGCTGGCTGATTGGAGAGCGGTGTTGTGTCGGTTGGGAATATCCACACAGCACAAGAACTCAAACTGTAATGATATGAAAACTGGTCGTTGCTTGCCGTTTTATAAAGCCAGCTTTCCAGAAACACCTTATCAGCGACTTTTCTCCATGCTGCAGCCAAGCTTACCATATATGGGTATGAATTGTTCGCCAGTCGATTTTCAAGAGAATTTCAACGCTCAAAAGACGCGCTGCGCTGCTGAGCGAGCGCACATGGGTGTGTGCCTGTTCACTTGCGCGTGTGTGTGTGTGTGTACGATATGCGTGTGGCTGGCGAGGGGTTCGTTCACTTTGTTTTTGGACTTGTTTTAAACCCGCTTGCATCGGTCAATGCGTATCTGAAAAATTCTTTCTTATGACTCAGGCAGTTACTCATGACCGCCCAATACTCATTTCTTATCGTTCAATTCATTAAAATGGAATTTAAATCATGAAATCGGTTTAATTAAACCTTTATTAAGGCGCTTTGTTTTTATGAATCGATTCTACCAGATAAACAAATTGTTCACAATTTCCAAAGCTGCAGAATATTTGTAAAGGAAAGCTAAAATCTGCGCAATGTTTCTGAACTCTTACTTTACATTACGTATGTATGTATCCTTGATTTCTATAGGTTTTACATAAAATTTCGACTTTTTGTAGGGTATTCATAAGTGCATTCAAAAATTCAGTACGAGAGTCGCAAGCCGGTTTCGGCAATAACGGCGCCAGCAGCGCTCAGCTGCCTCTTCTGGCACTCTAAAGCGAAAACAGCGCGTTTGCGCAACAGAGATGAAGAGAGAGTAACAGCACACACTCGCAAACACAGCCGAATGCTGCTCTCTCGCTCTAGCCTGCGGTCTGCTGCCCAAAGGCGTTGATGTTATTTTTGCCTCAAGCTCTGAGCTTGATAAGCCGCTGGCTGAGGCCGGCTCTCCCAAGCTTTTTAAGAGCAGAATGTTTATCAACAGCATGCAAATATTATTAAAATTTCAAAACCATCAGACAAAAATTTGCGGCCAATTAATCAGAATTTAACCCCTTTACCCATCTTTAAAAAAAGTGAAAGAGTAGCAGCATCTCCGTGCGTTTCTGTACGAGAGAGCTGCTTTTGTAACGGCAAACACACTCTAAACATATATTGCTCACACATGGCAATAAGCACATAAATAAGCATAGCATTTTGTTGTTGGTAGGGGGAACTTCTGTTATTTTATTTATTTGTTATTCTTTGACTAATCTGTGGTTAAACAATGTACTATTTCGAGCCAAAGTGACGCACAAAAGGAAAGACAGAAAGAACTGAACAGAACATGCTGAGCGATAAGCGAACAAGCAGGCGTGTGATGGAGAGGGACACACACTGCGCCTCCCTCTCTCGAATAAGCATAAAACGAAAACGACACACACACACACACACACAACAGTGTCAATGTTTGGGCAACTGGTCAAAGGAGTGGCACCAACTGCGGCGGTGACGTCGCTCCCAGCCACAGCCCGACTTGGCAGCACCCTCTCTCTTTATCACCATCTCGCTCTATGCTTGTCCGCAGCCACTTTTGGGTTTGTTGTCGTTTTTTTTTTTTTTTTTTTGGAAGAAATTGAAATCATTGCAACAATTCCATTTAAACAAATGAAAAAAATCACCAAATTGCATGGCAGTTTTCCAAGGTAAATACCGAAATCGGAGTTGATTCTCATGGACTTATTCGCAGACGTCAGCATATTCCAAAATTCCACTCGATTCTCATTTTCTCTCGAGTTTGAGTTGTCGTTCGAGTTCTACTTGTTGTTCTTGTACAACGAGAGAAGTTAGCAGCGTAAAAGCAGCGGCTCTAACGGTCTGGTCGGATGAATCGGTCGAGCAACTGGACCCACAAATCATTCCATTCCAGACTGCCACAAGCAAAGTGGAACTCAAACTGGTTAGAAAATCGCTGAAAACTGAAAAAGAACATCCATATCTAGCATGTGCGATTTCTCAATTAGGCGAGGAATTGGAAGCGAATTCCCCCTGGCCGCTAACCTTGTCATTGTGTGGTTATGCCGGGGAATGCAAAGTGCTGTTCAGCTAGAGAGGGGCTATAATTTATTGTCAATCCAAACATATGCATGTATATGTGCATAAATAATTGGCTTTTTATTAAAACTAGAAATACTTAAATTTGCCAAAAACAGCGTCGTTGTTGACTTTGAAACCGCTATGCACACACATTGTAGCCATGATCAACGACCTTTCTCCAAAAGTACGTAACTCGTCACGTTTTCTACACACACATGCACAAACGCCCATCAACCCGTTGTGGAGACATCAACTACAGCTACTTTACCCTCCTCTCTCCTAAAAGCTAGCTTATATTAAGTACTGGCTAAACGAAGCATAAGCTGCAGTTTCCAGAAATTATGTAAATATTTTAATATGCGAAATTTTAACTTTTATAAGACTGCAGTACATTGTATACTGTACATGTCCTTTTCTAAAAATTATCTGCTGCTTGGTTTCATCGGAACTTAAACTGACAGCAGCTTTGCAGCTAATGCTGTCTGGCCTGGGCCAAAGCAGAGCGCCATTGTCAAGGTCATTGAAATGTGAAAATTTTCGTTCATTTTTCGCAATTAAATTGTTTTTCTCTCCATTTCTTGCGTATTTGTATTGCACCATTAACATACACGCATGGCCGGGGCCACTGCAACCACGTTTGGTCAGGTTTTGGAGTTTGCAAAAACATTTTCACTCCAACATTTGTTGTTTGTTTTGGTTTTTTTTTGTTTTTGGCTATTTTGGCTTTGCATCACAATTGGCCATGGGATGGTGGAGGAGAGATAATCATTATTTGTTGTCTTAATTAGTTTGCGTGCGCTTAGACAGCGCGAGAGTGCCAGACATTGTTGTGGATCGTGAGTGCGTTGGCGTCGACAGATGCGAGAGGGAGATAAGCACATGAGGCAAGGCCATGGACAGTTATTTTTCTTAACCCGCGAGGCAAAAAATCGTTTGGAAAATACGCGTACATACTCGGTCTCCAGTCAAGGATAAAATTTATAGAAATAAATTGTGTATTTCTTCTGAACTTTACTTTGTACATATTCGATATGATATGCCATAAATATCAGCACGAATATGATAATGCTAAATTGTTGAATTCCATTGCTAATTGCTCTGTTAATTGCACTTTACGTTGCGCAAATATTTTGGCTGCACAGGAGAAGATGCGCCATGATCGCAACGAGGAGCTGCAAAGATGAGTTTTGTGGTAGGAGCATCTGCGGGAAAGTGAAAAAAATTAATAATAATTATTATTATTTTATTTGTTTTGACGTGTGCTTTCACTCGCACTGTGAACATTGCAATGGCAACGTTCGGTTAACGGTGTGCGTGTCCCCACTCCAAAATATTTTCTTTTTTTTTTGCGATCCGACGTGCTCTCTTCGTACTCTCTCTACTCAAAAGATATGTATGTATATATGTTGTTATGAGGGAAGAGAACGCTTTGAATAGAAAAGTTGTACCTTCTGTCTTTGTCTGTCCATTCTATGCCTGGATGACAAACTCCCATAAGAACGATGAGTAATAATGTAAACAGTAAAAAGTGGGTGTGATGTATTCTCAACGAAATCCCTTTTAATATTGCTCAATAAAAAGGTTGTCTGGGCAGGGTGACAAAAAATCATTGAGTCATTCATTTAGTTTGCCGGCCAGACGTTAAACACACACACACATATGTACATATATAAATTGATGGAGTGC